TCACTTTCATCCGTAGAGGAACTTGAACTGATAAATGGTACATTATCATCCTCACTACCCCGTTCTTCACTCTCAGACCCACAATCCGATTCATCTTCACAAATATTTTGCAATATTGAAAGGATTTCTTCATTTTGAAGGGCTCGAGACATTTTTCACGAATCACTTACAATAATTCTGACAAAATTGATAGGCAGTCGTAACTGTATTGACTCATTTAACCAGCATACTCCAAACAATGGACAGAGCGCACATTATTTCGTATTCTACCTTCTCATATTACAAATAAATACTTATCCGATATCAACCGTCAAATGACTGCCGCCGTCTTTGTCGGTATATCAAGATTTTAAACAATAAACAAAAGAGACGAGAGTTATTTTCATACATAGTTTCATTTATCTAGTAATATTAATAAAAGTCATAAAGTCTCAGTACATAAAGTTAAATAGTTTTTGAGTTATTCAAAATTTAAAATCAAATTACAGTCAAATGACTGCTTCCGTCTTTCTAGTGTTAAAACAAATTATTGACAAAAATAAAGAACTTTTTGATGATAGACTAGGTGAAGTACAAAATTATGAGGTCAACATTTTCATCAAACCGGGAATTGAACCCAAACATCTACCAGCAAGGCCAATCAAATTCAGCATAAGAAAAAATGTAGAAATAGAATTGGATAGATTAACAAAAGAAGGAATAATTGAAAAAATTTACCCAAACACAACACCTGTAGAATGGGCCACCCCAACAGTTAATGTTCTCAAACCAAATGGTAAAATTAGAATTTGTGGCGATTACCGCACAACAATCAACCCACTTCTAGTAACACATACACATCCAGTACCCTTATTTGACCATTTAAGACAACGACTTGCTGACGGAGAAAAGTACTCGAAGATTGACCTAAAACACGCCTATTTACAATTTAAAGTGGCTCCTGCTCCTAGAAAGTACCTTGCTTTCTCTACACATAAAGGATGTTACCAATATAACAGAATGCCCTTTGGTATAACTACAGCACCAGCAATTTTTCAGCATTACCTAAAAAACCTACTTAATGACATCCCTAATACAGCCATTAATTTCAATGATATTGCTGTGACTGGAAAAAAAATGAAGATCACCTCAAAACATTAGAAAAAGTATTGAACCGACTTCAGAAAACAGGGATGAAAGTGAATCTTAAGAAGTGTACATTTTTACAAAACGACATAGAGTACTTGGGTCATACGATTAGCAAAGATGGAATAAGACCAACAAAATCTAAAACTGAGGCAATCCTCAAAGCACCACCACCTGAAAATATAAAAGAATTAAGATCATTTCTAGGTCTCGTCAATTTTTACGAAAAAATTCATCCCTCACCTCCATGGAATATGTTCCGAATTGCACACTTTGACAGGACATAAACAAAAGTGGTCTAAAACAAAAGCAATAGATGCTCTTAACCATTGTCTAAAGCTAAAATGGAAGTGGGCGGGTCATATAGCACGTCTCGAAGATCAGAGATGGACTAAAACGGTTACTTCATGGAAAGGCCCACCTGGCAAACGTTGTAGAGGCAGACCACTCGTTAGATGGGATGATGATCTGAAAAAAATAGCTGGTCCAAAATGGCAACAAATAGCCCAAGATCGAGAAAAATGGAAAACTTTGGAGGAGGCCTTTACCTGAGAGGGGTTCCAGTAATAATAAGAAAATAGAATAAATAATAACAACATTAGTACATAGATATAATTAGATATAAGTACCAACAAGTATAACAGCAAATAATCTATACTCTTAATGTAAATCTGGAAATAAAAGGCTTTTTTATTTTTTTTTATTTATTTATTAAACAAAAGTGGAAGTGGTCTGAGAAAGAAAACGCTATTTTTGAAAAGACCAAAAGATGTATAACACGATTCAAACCTCTGATTCCTTATAATGACAAACAAGCCCTTTACCTAGCATGTGATGCTTCAGAAAAAGGTATCGGAGCTGTTTTGTATCATAAAATTAACGACATTGAAAAACCAATCACATTTGCCTCAAGAAAATTGAAACAAGCAGAAAGCAATTATTCAGTCATTGATAGAGAAGCGTTAGCAATATTGTTCGGAATAACAAAATTTGACCAATATCTTCGAGGAACGAAATTCACATTAGTAACAGACCACAAACCCCTTATACACCTATTAGGAACTAATAGAAATTTACCTAAATTACTAAACAATCGACTAATCAGATGGGCTTTATTAATCGGCAGTTATGATTATGATATACAGTATACAAAAGGAAAGAACAATATACTAGCCGATCCACTCTCGAAACTTCCAAACCCTACTGAGCGACCAACCGAGATAGAAGAATCGGTCAACAAGGTAGTAAAAAGAATAAGTGAATTAATGATTAATGAGATAGCTATAAACCAAGAAACTATTAGGGAACAAACAAATAAGGACACAATATTGTCACAAGTAAAATTATACAAAAGAACAAATTGGAATACCTACAAATATGATGAAAACAATTTACAACCATATTTTAAGAAACGCGATGAATTGTCAGTTGAAAATGACATAATAATGTGACAAGGGAGAATTGTTATTCCGCATTCAATGAGAAACGCAACATTGAAGTACCTTCATCGAGGACATTCAGGAATATCAGCCATGAGAGCACTTGGACGATTTTATGTTTGGTGGCCATCAATCGAGGAAAATATAGACAACTACGTGAATTCATATATTCATGGTCAATTCCGAACCACGTATGGGAAAGACTACACATAGATTTTGCAGGTCCACTTCTAGGAAAATATTGGCTAGTTTTATGCGATGCTTTATCTAAGTGGGTGGAGATAAAACCAATGAACAAGACAACAACAGATAGACTGTGCAGTGAACTTGACGCCGTCTTTACCACCTTTGGATTACCACAGATTAATGTTTCTGATAACGGACCTCAATTTACATCAGAAATCTTCAAAATGTTCTGCAAAAAAAGGGGGATATTGCATATCAAATCATCTCCATACCACCCACACACCAATGGATTAGCTGAACGTCTAGTGCGAACTTTCAAAACAAGGATGGCCAGTGAACTCGACACACAATACGGTATCTAACAGAGAAATTACGGAATTTTCTTTTTACATATAGAAACACTCCACACAGTTCTACCCTGAATTCTCCAGCTCAATTAATGTTTGGACGACAACTCAACTGCGTTTTGGATAATGCTCGACCCTGTATTAGAACATAGACAAATAAAAGCAAACATCATGTCAGAAAATAATTCTAAAAACTACCAACCTGGAAAAAATGATTACATTAAAACTAGAGATGATAAGAAATGGCAACCAGCCACAGTGGAGAGGCAAACACACAGATATTCCTATATCATAAAAACACCTGATGGTGTTTTACGCAGAAGACATGCGGATCACATTCGTCCAGATAACTCTAATGCAGTAATCTCACCGCAAGTAAACAGTGATATAAACGATTCTACTCCATCTACACCACATGTTAATAATGCTCCACCCCAAATACCCGTTTTACCTAACACTCCATCCAGAACAGCACCTGCTCATGGAGATATACCCACAAGTCGTAGGAGTATTTGAATAAGACACCCACCACGCCATTTGATTGAACAATTAGAATAGGAGGGGACGAATGTTATAACGTTGAACCTCTTTGCTAGAGGTTTAGTTTTATTTATCTCTATGTTAATAATTTCAAAATGTCAGTGACAAAGAGTAGAACAAAAAGACGTCATTAATTAAAAAATGCTTGATCTTACATATGTGTTTTTAATTGTATCACATCACAATTACTTTTTTCCTGCATTTTCTTATCATTATAACGTCGAGATGAACTTTTGTTCCTCCTTTTAATGTGCTTAAAAAGTGGATTCATAGTTATTTGTGAAATTTGAGATAGTGACGATTTTGTGTTGTTGTGGTTGTTGAAAATATGACTGATAAAGAAAACAGAAGAAAATGTTTTAAGTGTGGACGTTCGCCAGCCCAGCATAATGTAAAGCTCTTTCGTTTTCCGAAGCCGGCTAAAAGGAATCTTATACGGTACTTGCTTTAATCTTCTATCTATAGATTTCGAAACTAATCAACAATACGTGAAGTTCCGCTGCATTTTAACAAGAGAATATTCCCATTATGTAATGCTAGTGTTAGTTATTTTATTAGCAGAAGAGTTAGAGGTGACATAAATACTTGTATTTAGTTGTAAAAAATATGCCTTGAGTCAGAGCTTCAGTATTAGGTATGTCATGCCAATCTGTATGAAAGAATTTTATGTTATTACTGATAAAAGTGATGATGTAGGTGTAGGTGATTAAGGATGTTTATCGATTACGTACTATAAATTAAATTAGTTTGTTATAAAATTCTTAGGAAAAATGTAGCTCTATCTCTAAAGGACAGAATTCATCAACGGAATTCCAAATGAAATTGTACACTCAACATGGAATGCTGTGTCAAAAACATTTTCTTGATAATTTGGTGCACACTAAATAATTCTGAAGCATTAAAATAATTCTGAAGGCTTGTAAATCAATGTTGAATTAAAGTTAAAAACTAAACATTAGTTGAAAATTCACTTAATTTGTATAATAAAGCGGTATGTTAAAATAATAATAAAATAAAGTGTGTTATTATAATCTGCTTGTATTATATTCCCTTTTTGAAGTAGTCCCTATATTTCACCTAGATTAACTACCAAATTGCTAAAACCTGTGTTCCCTGTGGATGTTTTTCGTTTGCGGAATTTGTTTATGTTATGGATTTCGTATACTAAAAATATTCTCAGAAAACACTGGTTTTAGTAATTTAGTAATTAATATGAAATCCCAGTATAAAGTTAGTATTTAAACTTCCCGCCATACTACTTGTTTCGGAGGGCTAACTATAAGTGGAGCTAGCTTCTATGGATAATATTTTTCTATGAAGTTGGTCTTCTCGTAGAGTATTATTGTTCTGTGCTCGTGGCTAACAGGCGCGGTGGCGCGCGTAAGCCATTCGTTAAGTTGCCCGTGCGATCGAACCATCTCGGCAACCGCCCGCGAGAAACTCTAGTAGGTAGATGTACCTTCCGGTTTGCTATAATTTTGATTTTACTTATTGTTTTTATGTGTGATTTGTTAGTATGGAAAGGAAGCGAAAAATCAACAGTGAATGCAGAACGTTCCAAGATAAACGGAACTTTCAGTATTTTGTGATCAAGTCCAGTAATAAGGCGCTATGTTTAATTTGTAATGAAACCATAGCTGTTCTCAAAGAATATAACATTAAACGACACTATGAATCGAATCTTCTTCAAAATTACTCCAAGTATACGGGAAGTTTGCGGACGGAAAAATTTGAAGCTTTGAAACGCGGACTCAAATCGCAGCAATCTTTGTTTACCAAAGCGAATACTGAACAAGAGTCTGCAACTCGCGCCAGCTTTCGTGTGGCTCTTGAAATTGGAAAACGTGGCAAACCATTCACCGATGGAGAAATAGTAGGGGAGCCCACGATGCTAAATCGGGATTTACTCGAGCGTCATAGAGACCTATTGGGTTGCGAAGCTTAGATGATAACAAAAAAAAAATTCATATAATATATACCTTTTCATCGGTGGGGGAAGCGGCTATAGCTTTTTAAAAATGTAAAAAAAAAACTGTTGTATGAACGTACTCGAGCGCGTCAGATATTTATATCATCCATGTCCTACGCATTTTTAAAAACTGTCGTATGTTAATCTGATCGTTTCCATGATGGGGGTGGTTATACGTGAGGGTTGAAAATGAAAAAAAAAAATTTATCGAGCGCGTCAGATTTTTTGAGGGGATGTCAAGTGAACCTAAAAAAAAGCTCTCATATAATAATCTGACGATTTGGATGTGACGCAAACGCGTGACCATTATTAGAATGTGCAAAAAAAAATCGCCATTTTGAAATACTCAAGCGCGTCAGATTAAGATATATGTGGTTCATCTTTATCTTTTATGCTCGGTGGAACAGAACGACCGATACTCCCGAGGTTCCTGGAGAGTACTATTTGTCTTTAATATGATGTAAAAAAAATTATAAGTCTAGGTCAAATAGTTTCGGAGATATTAAATTACAAAGTTTTTGAAAAAAAATGGGACGTACTAAGGAAAAGTTTTAAATCGGTCATTGACTTCTTCATTTCTAAAAACGAAATAAGCTAGTTTGTGATTTATAAGACTGCTTCCATGCAAATTCTACCAGACAATCACTACACAAGGCAGTCAAAATGCTTAAATCGATTTACAGACTAACAGCCGGTTTCTGATTTGAAAAAAGTAGAAAATTTCTACTGATTATTCTCAATACTAACCTAAGTTTTTTTTTAATTTCACAAGTCAAATAGTCCTAGTTTTATTAAATTGCTATCAACTGATCATCAAAAAACTAAAATCGGAAACGTTCGCGCAGACGTGCAGCCGTGCGAGTCGCCGCGGGTCGCATAGCCATACAATTCGATCCCCTGGTAGGAATAAGACCATTTTACCAAAGAAGGAAGACTTATCTTTGTTTATCGAAGCCATTAGATCGGTAGGCCGTAATGATAATTGTAATAAGCTAGGTAATATGTATAACACTATCCCCGAGTTTGACCTCGCAAGGAAAGAACAGACCATGACAATGTGGCTTCACGAAGTAAATGAATCTAAGAGTATTTATGGATGGACTGACCAACAATTGGTTCATTTTGCATTACCGAAACTGCGTGGTATTGTACAACACTGGTATGAAGGCTTACCGTCAGTTCTTTTCTCGTGGGAAGAGTGGCAATCAAAACTGTTGACTGCGTTCTCTTCTGAGGAAAACTCTGGACAAATGCTCACCGATATGCTTGCTAAGCGCGCCCGTTTCGGTGCCTCATTACAAAATGTATTATTACGATAACATTACGTTCGTAAATAGGTGTAGTACTGTAGGTAGAAGAGCAGTTGAATGTATTTTATACGGAATAGATGCTCGCTCACTAAAACTAGGCGCCGAGGTTGTACAATACGACGACCGAGACAAGTTACTAGCATATCTTATGAATGCCCGGAATAGTAAACCTCAAATTGACCGTAAGCAAATAAGGCAATTTAATGGCAAAATTCAGGATTCACAACTTAAAGTTGCACCTTAAATATCTCGTTGCTTCAATTGCAGGCAGGAAGGACATATAGTTTCTCAGTGTCCTCAGCCTATAAAAAAATGCAGCAAATGTCAAAAAATGGGGCATGATGCCGAATCATGTTACTCATGGTCACTGCAAGTCAAAGAGAAAACTGTGATGTCAGTGACTAACGAAAAACCAGGTGATAAATACAATAAACTTATCAAAGTGGATGGAGTTCCTATGAAGGCGTTTATCGACTTCGGTAGTGAATGTTGCATGATTAGTGTAAGCGATCTTAGCAAAATTAGTGAACGATATGATACTAATAATCTTCCTGTCTTAAGAGGGTTTGGCAATTCTGTTGTTCAGGTATTAGGCAAACGACTTTCTAACATAATCATCTACGGCGTTGACACGTTTGTTGATCTCTTCGTCGTACCCGACGAAGTTATGCAGACTCCTATTACGGTCGGTCAGTCTCTTACGTAACAGCCTCATATAATTGTGCATAAGACCAATGATAGCTTAGAAATATTACTAGCAGACGAAGAATCTACATCGAATGATAAAATAAAATTATTTTGCAAAACTGATACCTTGGTATCGGGTGTGAGGTTGCTAGAGGTATATACTGACCCGGTCATGACGGGAGATATATACGTAAAGAGCGGTCTACGACTCAAATCAGATGTCAAATTCTCCATCTCATCAGGCTTATTTTCTATAGTTGATGGGATCTGCAATGTTACCGCGATCGGTCCTTGTAAAAAGACATTTCTTCTCGAAAGGGATTATTTAATTGCTCGAGGATTTAAGGCAATAGAGGAAATTACTTCATTGGTTATGCGAATAAATGCAGATAATGTGGAGACTCCTTCACCTATTTGCAATGATGTCGTAAGAGTAGGTGATACTGTGTTACACAAGAGCAAAAGGGACTTCTACTTAAACTACTAAAAAAATGTCGACTGTGTTTCGCATCGAGTTTATCTGAGTTGGGCGTCACATCGCCAGGCGAAATGACAATAAATCTGAGGGACGACGCCCCAGTTGTATACAGAACTTATCGTCTTTCGTTTAAGTAAAAGGAAGTAGTGCGTGATATGGTATCAGAAATGTTAGACAATGGGATAATTCAACCCTCAACATCATCGTATGCAAGCCCAGTCGTACTGGTAAGAAAGAAGGCAGGAGAGTTTAGGCCTGCACTTATTAAGAAGACTATACGAGGAAACTACCCCATGCCTTTAGTAGATGACTAGTTAAATATCCTCGCTGGTCATCAGTTTTATACTACCTTGGACTGAGCAGCAGGTTATTACCAAATCCCAATTCGTGAATGCGATAAATACAAAACAGCATTTGTGACACCGGACGACCATTTTGAGTTCACCCGAATGTCGTTCGGTCTTAGAGCGAGCGCAAAGATCCCTGTTAAAGGTAATGTACTTTAAACCCTACAGGTTTCCTACCGAATAACAAACTTATAAAAAGACGGTCTGACATTGTAGCCCCCACTGTCATCATACGTATAGTCTTTGCCAGGAGACAAAATATAGCTCAAGCCCCTCACGCTTACAATAAGATAAACCGTATACTTAGTATTAACCCTATGCAACTATACCAGTGTAAAATAATTTTGACTGAGTGGCTCTTTACTCTTACATATGAGAAAATGGAAGACATTCTGATTAGAATAACTTGACTTATAGATTAATACAAACTATACATATGTGAAGCACCCTAACGCAATCACACACGTACAACACACACACAACGCACACACATGCACAACACATACACACACATACACACACACACACACACACACACACACACACACACACACACACACACACACAACGCACGCAGACACGCACAAACACACACACTCCTATTTTTTATAATCTTATTTTTGTAATTTTCTTAATCTAAGTTACTACTTACCGTACTTAATTCATAAATCTAAGTTAATATAAAATGTAAAGGATGAGCGAGGCATTCCCAACACAAGTGTCATTAGATTACTTTCTGAGAAGCCCCGGCCACATATTTGTATGGATTTATTGAAATAAAATACTTTCTCTCATTCTCGCAAACGGTCCTGCGACTAGGTGCTAGGTACAATGCGTCATAAGGAAGCACTAGCATACTTGGACGATGTTATTATTCCTGCCAAGGAATTTTCCGAAGGGTTATCACAGTTGGAGAATGTTCTGAAGTTGTTCGCTGCTGCTGGCTTGACGCTCAAATTAACAAAATGTTTATTTTTTGGAGATAGAGTAGATTATTTAGAGTTCCAGGTTTCAAAGGAGAGCATTCAACCAGGATCGCGAAAGATCGATGCTATAGCGATATTTCCTACTCCGCAAAACACATTTACTTTGACGCATTTACTAGAAAAAAAAAATGTAGCATAGTCCTGGGGCCCAGTACAAGAGACTGCATTTAAAACCCTACAACAGAAACTTACGTAGAAGCCAATATTGGCTCTCTATAACTCAGAGGCTCACACTGAACTGCTTACAGATGTATCAAAAATTGGCTTGGGAGCAATTTTGTTACAAAAGAATATTGATGGTCTTCTCAGGCCTGTTGCCTTTTATAGTAGGCAGACTACAACCGAGGAACAAAATTATTCATCATACGATCTAGAAACTCTGGCTATTGTAGCTGCCCTACAAAAGTTTAGGGTATATCTGATTGGTGTTACTTTTAAGATCGTAACTGATTGCAACTCTTTGCGAGCAACGTTTCAAAAACAGGACATGCTACCAAGAGTAGCACGATGGTGAGAACTTATGTAATTATATAACTTTGAGATTGAATACAGATCTGGTACGTCAATGGTTCACGCGGACGCGCTTAGCCGCAATCCTATCGCAATCCTATCGGCAATAGCTACACGGATAGTTTAAATGTGAGGGCCATTACAGAATAACATTGGCTTGCTACTCTTCAAGGATTCTGCTATTCAGAGAATTGTTGGTATTTTAAGGGATTCGAACCTCAATGATGTGGTAGACACTAAAAGCAATTACAAGATAAAAGATGACAAACTTTATCGCATCACCCCTAAAGGAGATAAGTGGGTCGTTCCCAAGAGAGTGCATTAGCAAGTTGTCAAACAGAACCACGACGAGATTGGTCATTTTGCGTTTGATAAAACTCTTGATAAGTCCTTGTACTGGTTTCCAAATGAGAACTTTTATAAAAAAGTACGTCACATCTTGCCTTGAATTTGCCTACTCAAAAGCAAAGGGAGGTAAGAAACCAGGTTTTTTGCACCCCATAGAAAAAATAGATAACCCTTTTGATACCTTGCATATCGGTCACGTAGGATCCTTTGTACGTAGTAGTAGTATAGTAGTCCTTTACTAGTTCTCTTTTAAAAAAAATATGACCGACAAAAGTATTGTATAAAACATGTTCTCAATGCCGTGGCCACACCAAGGGCTAATGGATAGTTGGAACGATACAATAAAACCATCGTTGACGCGTTGACAGCTAAGTCTGTTAGCACGCCCGATAACAAATGGGACAACCACCTATCAGATGTTTAATGGAGCATAAATAATACCTTCAATAAAGGTATGAATCGCACGTCATCTGAAGCTCTCTTTGGCACGCGGCCAACGGGATTGAATGAAAGCAGATTAGTTTCGGAACTGTTTAGAGACAAAAATTATGTTAATAATTCACTTTTGCGTCGAAAAACAGCTAGGCAGGAAATCAATGAGCATATTAACACTTACCAACGTAAGCAAAAGGAATACTATGACAAACATCGTTGTAAACCGGTTAAGTATAATGTGGGTGA